TCTATAGCAACAGCTAATATTTACGCAGTTTAAGCAGACTGTGAGACACAATCTATTTGCGACATATTTCTAGCATATTGGAAAAAAATGTCTTCTAAATCATTGCTATACATCAATGTGGTCAATAACGTGTATAGTGTAACCAATAGTTACAACTTCGTTATAAAACATCAGACACAACTTTACATAACTATTTCCTACACTCCTTCGCAGTCTCTTATTGTATTTTTTACTCCATCATTTATTGTATTTATGCTTCAATCGTGCTCTAGCTGACTACTTCATGCCAAATTAACGTCAGAGTTCAGCTGCCGTTAGGTCAAGCAATATTTATGCGACTGTTTTATATGTTCACCCATTCATCTGGCAGCAGCCGCGCGGTGAGTACGTGGCGTATACGTAACATGACTGCTGCGCTTTAAAGGCAAAACTGCACATACAAATAAATTGAAAATGAAAAGTTTTTCACACTGTCTGCTTGCGTATAAATAAAATTTAATAAATATAAGACTTTACAAGATTTACTTATTGCTGTTGCTCTGCCTTTCATATTCTTGGTTTATTTGCACGTCTGCTCTTGCGCGCCAACTCATAAATACGAATATAGCAGCACATGAGCGTGGTTGGTCTGCAGACTGCGTGTTGCTGAGTGTGTTTTTCTTGTTTTATTCATCTTTTATATGAAACATGTTTTCTTGGCAGCTGCTTGCATCATCGCTTGCCCTTTGGAAAGTGATTTTATTCATGGAATTAGTTTGCAATGCAATTCGAGTACAAAATTGCTTTGCTCTTTCATTTATTTCGTTAACAACTTGCAGCTGCTAGTTCATGTGTTGCATGGTTATACTTGTATATACATTAGTGATATTCTTACTGCACATTTCATTAATTAATAATTTCTTAGAATTACCGATTCACTTTATTCCAACGCTTCGTTGAAATATTCTAACTGAACTAGTTGAAAAATTCTTCGCCTTCGGGTAGACGAAAATTTGATAGAAAAGGGAGCATGTTATTTCGTTTTTTTTTACATTTTTATAAATTCTTTAGTTAAACTGCAATAATTATAGTTATATTCAGAAGACCTTATTACATAGCAATGTTCCTTTTAGTAAAGTGGGTCCAACTTGAAAACATCGATTGATAAGCGCTCGAAATTGATTTTACTTTTTCCATTGCTTTCAATTGAGATCAGCTTACTAACTATAGTTCAGGAATGAAAACTTTCAATATTTTTGTTTCTTCAATAGCTCAATATTAAGTTTCAATATCAGCTTTGTTTTGCTCTGACTGAGGACCAAACAAAAATGTATTAAGCAATAGAGAAGCTGATTAGGAAAGGTTAGGTGGAGTTAAGGGTCCTGTGTCCTGTGACAAAAGCCAATGAGAATCTCACTTGGACAACTGGTAATCCAGGTGTGATACCTAAACCTGCTAACAATGGAACATAGAGACACTCATAAGTCGATAAAGCGATTTGAGCGTGACTTAAATGTATTCAGGCGGCTAATATTATTTCCGGTTATTTTAACTGGTTCTCCAAAAGTAGCATATGAGTACGGAGTTCTTTCACCTCACCTTTGCAGAACGATGATGGAGAAAGTGCCTAGATGTTTCCACCAAACTTTTTTCCACACACCAATAAAAATTAGCGTACAATATGATTTTTTGCATTACTTCGTATATGCTACTATTCTACTATTTCTAAGTGTAAGTGGTTAAGTAGACCTCTTGCATTCTATTGTAGACTAGAAGGATCTCGCAGCCGCACCGGAGCTAGCGATTCCGATAAATGAGTCTGAAAAAAGAAGAGGCCTGATACTATTGATAGTAGTTAAGTTAGATACCTTAAACGGTCGTTTCTAATAGAGATCTCACTTGGACAGCTTATAAGTCGACGTAACGCCGGTCCATTGTGGTACCTAAAACTCCTATAAGATTCATTATGAAGAACCTCATGAATTGATAAAGCGCTTTGGGCCGATCTCAAGTTTTTTGAGGCAGCTATTGTCAGTTTCGGCTAAGTTTCCTGTTTCGCCGAAGGTACGACTGCCGAGTTGTTTCAGCCTCAGTCTTGCAAAAGATGGACAAGGGAGGATAGTGAGCATAGACACATATTGACTTTTGCTGTCGGAGTAAATGCTCATCTCGCTGAAATATTTGCTGGCTATACCCGCTGAGATTTATATACACTGAACAGGGTGCAGTATGGTATATTGAGTTTGCCACAAAGTTTGTAACACCCAAAAGCAAACATAGGGACCTTATAAAGTATATATATAAATTGTGAGAGTGACGGGCTGAGTCGATTTAGCCATTTCCGTACGTCTGCATATATTGAAATTAGTTTCTCAATTTTTGAGATATCAACGTAAATTTTGGCACACATTCTTTTCTCACCAAGGAGCTGCTCACTTGTCAGAAACTTTAGTATTTGTTAAAGGTATAATTATAATAATGCAGTGCAACCGAAGTTAACGTTATTTCTTGTTTAGTAGTGAAATTGTATTGTTTCCTTATAAATAGGTAAATGATGATAGACTGTAATATTATATAAATCGACAATATCTGTTAAACTCTACGGAGCCATATTTTAGTTGTAATTTATTTCAAAATAAAGCTATCAACCGCAAACGCCAGTCACAATAAGCACAATAACATTTTGATTTTCAACATCATAAATCATGCCGAAAATAAGCGAGAACTGCGACGATGACAAGCAGCAATTTCAAAAGTCAATACAGCGCTCACCACAGCAACACACATAGAACAGCAAAACAGTACGTGTGTGTGTGTGTGTGTAAGTACGCCAAGCGCTAAAGCCGAAAACTATGTAAATTGCTTTGCTAAGCAAAAGCTGAGACCAAACAAAAGAAATAACGGCAAAGGCAAATACTGTAATTGTGTAAGAAGGCATTTGTGTGGTTAAGCAAAATGTCACGTATACGCCATGTGTGGTCGGTGGCCAACGTGGCATTGAGACCGTGAAAAGGGTGAGAGACTGACTGTAAATGACTCTTTCGTTTTGCGATTGTTTAGATATTAAATTGAGCACAACGATTCGATCATAGTGCTTGGCAGGCGAATGAAAAACAAGATAAATTGAATGCTCAATAAAACAAATGAAAAAGCAATTGGGTGTACATATGTAAAAACGGATGAAGTGATTAGTGTAGGCAGCACAAAGAAAAAGTGGGTTCGAAATGGATGCAAATAGTATAATAAATGGAAAAGGGTTTTGTATGCAAGGGACAGTAGAAAGATAGAAATCTTACAAAAACGTGCAAAGCAAGAGATGCGAGCTGAAAGCGTTTAATTTACAGAGGATGGAAGAGGTGTGAACATGTTTGTCAGAGAGATAACGAAAATAATTCGTAGCCATTGTGAAGCTATTCAAAGAGGAAGTGAAGCGATAACGGTTTTAGATAGATTAAAAATTTCGGTTCGACTTTTTTCCAACTAAATTAAATCGAAAACTTTGAAACGATGGCAACACTTCAGAGATCTTGAATCTGATTAAAAATGTGGCAACACCTTTCTAAAAAATTATAACAACAGAAATATTTTTGCAAGCATTACAGTTTTAATGTGCATTTTGTAATATTTATTTCTTTGTCCAAATTTTAAGAATTCGAAAAGTTTAAAGGAGTGTCAACACTTTAAAAGTATTGTGTCGATGCTCTTTATGAAATCTACTTAGTTTTAATTTTAGTTTTTTTGTCAAAATATTTTGTTTACTTTTTTAATTTATTATAATATACGTATAAATTTTTTAATATATGGCAACACCTTTCTCAAAAATTTAAGCAACATATATACTTCTTCATCCAGTATATTATTAAAAATCATATTTTATGACTGTTTCCAAATTGAATTGAATCAATAAGTTTAAAGGAAATTAAAAAAATAATTTTTCTTAAACTTTTTAGTTATAATTTCCAATTCATTATACATATTTGATTAACTTTGCACATTTGATTTAATAATCTTTTAAATATGTGGCAATATAGCCGGCAGAATATATCATTAATCTCCTTACTTTTAATGCTCTTTTTTTAATATTTCATTGATTTCTTAAAATCTAATTCAATTAAAAACAAAAAATATTCTTAAGTAAAAGCTTCTTGAACTTCTTTACTTTAATATGTTTGAAGTAGTAGTAGTAATGAATATAATAATTTGAAATAAGTGGCAACCCTCCGAAAAAAAATCATAGTTGTAATTTTCTTCAAAACTTTTACTTAAAAAGTGACTGTGTAATTAAATAATAAATTAATTTAAAACAGGTGACAACGCTCAGAAATATATTTAAAAGCCTAATTATTTCAAACTTTATATAGTTGGGGCTAATTTAATAGTAGTTAGTTAAGAAGTAGCTCGTCATATATTTTATACAATTCTTACAATGAGTGGCAACACTCAACAACAATTTTTTTTAAATCTAACTCTTATTTTCAAGAGTAATTTTAGTGCACTATTTTTTATTGCGACTTATTCAGTTTTTAGCATTATTAGTTTATATTGTGTGGATAAATAATTATTGAACTGGTGGCAACCCTCCACAAAAACATTTTTAATTAAAAACAAATCTTATTAAATTATGAATTCTGTTACATAAAAATATTTTAATAAAGTTTTGAAAATATTCCAACTGTTATGTGCAAAACTATTTGCCTCATAGCGAAAATTAGTAGTTTGCTAATGCATAAAATTTTAAACCTATAAAGGGCTAGCTTAAGGGGCTTACAACTTTGCATTGTACTCACAAAAAAGCTTGCGCAAATGAATGAAGTAACAGTTATGTAATGCAGATAAATGGCAGGAACCAAGGGATTACCTTTCATTATGTGTGGAATCTGTGTAGATTGAAAGCTACTGCAAACTGTTATGAGCTTAAGGATACTTTTGAAAGCAAACATTAACTCAAAAATTTATTTCAAATAAGTATACCGTAACAACTAAAAAAATAAACATACCTCCTATTCCTGCTCTCTTTCCAGCAACTGCCTACACGGCACGCCATCACGCGTACCACTCATCTCTGGCAGCAGCGGTGCCATCAACGCACACAGCACCAACGGCAGCACAGACGAAGAGCAGCGGGGCGCGCGTAGTCTCTTCAATGCCACCGCAGCCTCATTCCATCGGCACACGCTAAATACCTTCCAACGCAATGCAGCGGCACGTAAATCAACCACATATGCCGCACAACGACGCGCAGGCTGCAACATGCACGCAACAAGCCAACGAAGTGGGAAAGCGAGCAGCTGTTATGGCGACACCGCCACCGAGACCTCCGACGACGAGGATGTGGAGGCCGCGTACATGCAACGTGATGCGACTACGGGCGAACAGTTCCGACTAACAAAACTCAGCAAAAGCAACAAACAGCCAAAGTCAGATGAGCAGACTGCCTACTGTGATACCGATGCGACTGCCGACGAGACTGAGGATGACGAGGCAGCCTCGAATGCCGACGCCGAGACGGAGGAGGCTGGCGCACAGGTGCCCATCAGCATTGTGCTGCTCATACTCATCTGCTACATATGCTTAGGCACTGTGATTTTCGCCTTCTGGGAGAATTGGTCCATTGTGGATGGCGCCTACTTTTGCTTTGTCACCTTGACCACCATCGGCTATGGTGACTTCATGCCCGAACGCACCTTTCACGGACCGCACGTGCAGCTCTTCGCTTGTTGCGCCTATCTGCTGTTGGGTCTGGTATTGGTCGCAATGTCGTTCAGTATACTCGAGACGCAGCTAATGTGGAAGTGCAAACGAATTGCGGTACGACTGAAGTTGGCCAATGATTGATAGTGGCGGCGTTTGTTAGCGCGTCGCGGCAGCGCCGGTGCGATGGCGCAATTTTTGTAGAATGTAAGCGGAAGCAAAAGAAGCAATAGAAAAATGCGAAACATAAAAAATACAGTAGAAAGTAAATGAAAGCAGGGAAAGCGTATAAATAATAATACAAAGAGCTAGACTAAGTAGTGTTTAATTAGTGTTTAGTTGCGCACTGTAAATATTTTTGTTGTAAAAGTGCGTACGAGCACTGTAGATAAAGCTTTATTTAAGCCTTTCACTTAGGTATGTTGGTTTACTGTTAGCTTAGTGGATAGAGTTGTCATAAGTCTCTTAGCCAAATGCTTGTAGTGAATGATCATTGAAAGTTGACTGCAACCTGAAGCAGGAAAAAGATAATTGTGTAACTCAAAGTGACGGTGGACATAGGTTATGTTATCTTTTTGATTGCCTCTTCTAAGAGTTTCTTCATTTACTGCAATTTATTAGAAGATCTTTCTGTAAGCATTGACTTATCGCATTCATATCGACAGCCACTTCTATATGGTTCGCTCCCGTCGAAACAGCTCGTATCTGCATAAGCCACAAAATATCAAACAACGAATTACTATGGATTAAATGGAATACTCCAAAACATGGTCGACCGAAACCCTTAAGTACAATATGACCTGATCCTTAATATATCCAATATTGAAAAATATTTTTCTTATGGAGACTCTCCGAAGCAACTGTTCATTGCCAAATATAATAAAAACTACATTTCGACTTAACGATGCCTCAACAGGGAAAATTTTCCAGTTATAAAAAAGCTTACCACTACATAACTAATATCGTTATTTGCAACATGACAGAATACATGATATTTATTGCAAGAGTTTCCTCGAACGAATGTTTATCACTGAAACTAATAATCGATAATTTTCCATAAAACAAAACATCGATTTCGTTAAGTCTCGTTTCATCACCTATGATTATAAGTAACGTCGAAGCGAAAATCTAAGATGGCATACAACAAAATTTCCTCTGTGTTCGGGAAAATAATTTTTTTATTTCAGAAGTTGAATTGTCAACAATGCTGTATCAGGAAACATCGAAACAGCTGATCCATAAAATTTAAAGCCAAGTCCGAAGCAACAGTGAAGCAAGTTCATTCTAATATAACTTGTATAGATAAAAATAAACGCTCTGCTGCAGTGAGACCTGCTTAAAATTATTTTAAAATAAAAAAAATCACTACCCTGAAAAAAGAGTTTCGCATCATGCATCGTTGGGAAACAATTTCAGATATAAGTTCTCATTTAGATCTCAGCCATCACACAAGCTTACTAACTTCGACTTAAAACTTTGTTCTCGTTACCCACACTCGAACTTACAACAGCTGAAAATACGTATATTCCGCTTCCAAGACAAGTGAATCTAGGAAAACGAGACGAATCCGGAAATTCATTCATGTACTGACAACGCTGTAACTCTAATGGATGGAACCATTCAAAAAACTGAATATATTTCCCTGAATTTGATTCACATCTGGCGTAAATAGGAGCACTTTTGATCTTCAAATTTGTTGGAGCCTTCAGTCTGAGATTCATCTTATTTCCAAAGCGGAATCATACGAATTTATTAAAAATTCTTAGCTTTATATAATAGAAAAAACTATTTTTGGTTCGCTTAGCTTTTACTTTCTTTACTAAGCGATGGATCAAGCTGATCCTGAGGATTTATGAAAAAAATTATAGTTAATAATATGCCGAACCATTTTGGAAACCTGAGCACATCTCTTTTAATTTGTACTATACTCGTTTTGTTCCAGGTGTTGAGAGAAAACACGCTCTTTGATTCTCTCATATTCCACTCTCTTCTGCTAACAGCTGGTTTATGCTATATTGCGGATATATTTCACAATAACTTAACAGTGTTGCATTTGCAATATTCTGGTTCAATATAAATGACGACAGCTCTTTCTCTTCGCATTTTTTAAATATTGCAATACAAAAAGCGCTAAATTTAAGGGTTAATCTGTATGTTAGCATTTTTAAACAAAAAAATAATTCGGAAAATATTGAATGAAAGTAAATTTTAAAATTAGTTCAAATATGAAGTGTATATAATTAATCATAGAATGAGGTTTAAAAATGTATGTAGATAAATAGTTATATAATTAAGAAATGCGTAATATTTAATAACAAATATGACTATAAAAGTAAATAAATAAATTGTAGAGCAAACACAAAACCATTGTCTATTAGTAAGGCTCGAACAAAACAATTTAGCTGTAATGTAATAACGGTAAAACTGCTGAATGTAAGAGAGTACATTAACTAAATTATGAAAAAATAATAATAATATTCATATTAAATACAAAAACAATTTCGATGTAAAGTAAAAACACACAAAAAAGACGCAACTGAAAAGATAATAGAATAAAATTATTAATTTTTAAATGACCATTTTTTCGTTTATTTTATTGCAAATCTCCAAATTGTTTAAAGCTTAAATGGAAAATTAACATACGAAGAACAACTAGATGTAAAATTGTTGATATTGGTTCACGACTAGGGCCTAAAAAAAGATATTTCCGCTTCATAACACTTCTCTACCTGCTTGACTTTCGATTTTACAGGTTAACACAGTATTCGCACAAAATTAAACATTACAACACTTACTGTCAAACCTCATTGTGGATGTTATGAACTTGTGGAACACCTAGTGAACAACAATACTGCTCGAGAAAATTTTAAAGTTAAGCTTTACGGTAACGTTCAAAGCGATTTTCGTCAGCTAAAAAGTTGATGTGCACGTGCAGAGATTAACAACAATCTCTCTATAACAACTATCGTCTATTCAACCAAAAAAAAAAGTTCACACGCTGTGAGAATCACAACTTTTTACAAGTATATGCCATAGCACTTGTAAACGAGATGACCTTACGATAAATTTTTTATAGGTAGACAAAATTATTCCTACGTTAAAAATTGTACTGATTAGTAAACTTCTAGCTAATATGTTATGGGTATGTAGGTCGCTAATACTTAGGTGGATCTGGAAATTTATTACCAGTCTATATTTTTTATACTTTTAACGACGATGATCCGATAAATATTTAGACTACAAAATAAAAAACGAACATTTTGAAGTAATGTCAGTTTATTTCCGAACATGGTCGCCTTTTAATCCACTTGTTCCAGCGATTCCCCAATTTTTTTAATACAACTTCCACAAAAACTGAAGAATAGTGTTGATAGAAATTGGTGGCCTAATTCGGCAGATTTGTCAGTGACAAAGGCCGAGCTGTAATCTGGTGAGTAGCCATGGCGGAAGAGCGCTCTTTTTGTTTGCCAAAATGATGTAATTTTCTCTGCAATTCTGCGGCGTGTAGTCTGTACAATAATTCGAAATGATAGAGCTGCTGTCACCATTTTGCCTTTCTCGGTGTAGTCGATGAAGATTACTCTTTATGAATCTCCCGAAATGGTTATCTCTTTTCCGGCCAATAAATCAATAAACATCTTTTTCGGAACAGGATCGCACTGTTTCAACTATTCTTTGCTCATTGATCTCTGGTTTGTACCAATATAGCCATATTTTGTCGTCGGTCAAAAAACGACGAAGGAACTGCTTCGGAACTGCCTTGAAAGGTAGGTAGTTAGGTAGAGGGGATTTTTGACGACGCACCTAGGCCTTTACGACGCGTGTTGTAAAACTACAGGGACTAAAATCCGCGCACTCCATTATATCCTCACTGAACCAACCTGCGCTCCTGATAAAGTTCATCCGTACAAAAAGTTTTATTTGTGCAACACCCGAGACATGGTCAAAAAATACTCAGCCACTAATTTCGATTTCTTTTCTATACAAAACCTTGCATTCGCATAGAAGATACAATAGTCATTATACGATATTATAATTAGAAAACGAAAACAATTTTATTAATATCCAACGTACTTTTGAACTTACAAATTCAGAAAACCACAGAACTAGCAATTAAATATGTAAATTCTAACGCATAATCCAAATTAGGCATTTAACTCATAGTCAACTAATTGAAAACGTTGAACATAAAAACTTCACTTTGAAAATTATCGTCCAGCCGTGAGAGCGACAAACAGACAACAAAAAATATGCAGACCTTATAAATAAGCGTATGTCTGTCCCCTGTGGCCGAGCGTTTTATGAGTCTGCATGTAAATGGAAAGTGAAAGCAGGCAATCAGCAATAGAAACAATGATACGCCCTCTCCAAACGTAGCGTAGAGTGAGTAAATAAACGGTAATGGACGGGCATAAATAAATATTTGAATTTTTTAATAGACTTCGCGACGTGCTTACCAGCGTAATTTTATTTTATTTTGACGGCATAGCGCGAATTTACGAGCGATGTGCATAAATAAATAAACAGAAATAAAAAACGAGAACGCGCAAAATAATAATACCAACGAACAACTACATATGCAAACGAGAGTGAAAGTCACATTTGACATGACGGAAAGGACGATAAGCGGTGTGAGGCTGGTCAATTATAAATATGTAGTTTCTAAAACAACAACAACAATAAAAAAATAAAACAAAAAGACGGAAGCAGTGAACCGTAACAACAAATATTTACTCTGCCTCTCTACATACATACGTATATAAAATATATATATGATATAGGAATGCCAGCTTTTATTTTTATATGCATAAAGGGAAATTAGTAAAAAATACAGCAACATAACACACTAAATGAGCTAAAAGGCTCCCAAGAGAGAGAGTGTGTTTCTATATATATTTTTTTTTGCTTTGGAAATGCCATGGGACAACATGCCTTAGCGCGAAACAAGGTACCCCATTGGAAAAATTTAACCTATGAAAAATATATAAGTAGTTTCAACTATTTATGATGTAAACGTGCGTCGTTGTCTTGTGCAACAAATTGAAGTTTGAAATCCACTCTGATTTCGGAGATACCAAAAAGGTTTCACATTGCTTACCAAATATCCATTGAGGCTCGAAAATACTAGTTTTATAATTTCGCGATGGTAATTCGAACAATGACTTTTCTAATGACTGTGACGTCTTCAGCAACATTTTTGGAAACACATTTATTTAGCTAAGCTTGCAACTTCGTTTGCCACTGACATTGAATATTAATCGGAAATAAATCACCGAAGTGAATACAACTTATTGGACAACAGAACTTAACCTGACCTAATAGGAATCGATAGACCGATATATATATTTACATTTATATTAATATAATATTTATATTTAAATTTATATTTATATTTATATGTATACTTATACTCATACTTATACTTATATTTATATTTATATTTATATTTATATTTATACTTATACTTATACTTATACTTATACTTATACTTATACTTATACTTATACTTATACTTATACTTATACCTATACTTATACTTAGATCCACAAGGTTTCTTAAACGAGCTAAGTTGTTCATATGAACCCCTATTAGATTTGATTATGGAAAATTCTGATTTAGCTCTAAGGCGGCTTGCACCAATTTGAAGCAATAATTCCTGAAATCTTTATTATTATGTTTGAAGAGATTTTTAAGATAATATTCAAAGTTTCTTAGAACCTGCTGCTTATAATTCCTAAAATTTTATTAAATATCTGCAAACTTTCCTACATTAAAAGCTTCCAATCATTCCTACTGGGTATATTGGTCGTTTTATGCCCAAAATTATTTTATTTTCATTTGATTACAGTCGCCGTCAGCAATGAATTATATTAAAATATAAACATCCACCACTCCGAAAATATTTGTTTAACCGTAAATGCTTTAATAACCAACGTTTTGCTTTAAAGCTTTCGGGCATGAGCTTCCAGAGCAATTCGCTTTCAAAGGTTTCAGTTGATGATTTGCATGGACGACAGATTATATATGCGGAACAAATTTATTTATTTACTTAGTGTTGGTTGTATTTAGTAAGCGATTTAGTGATAGCCGTAATTTGTACGAACAATTAAAGCAGAGTTTTTATAGAATATTTAATTTGCATTATTTTATGTGAAAGAGCAATAAATACAAACTTCAATAATTACGCTGAGTATGGATGATGTATAATAATGTTGAGATATAAGTATCTTTTTCTGCTGGGATTTTTAGCACTTTTCATTTAATCTGACCTTAGAGGTATGATATCAGGACTATTTGATTAAATTCTTGATAATATTTTACTGAATACATATAGCGAAGAGATGTGAAATTTGAGTGGCCAATTAGCCTATTACTCGGCTATGTACTAAGTTGCTGAAGTCGTGCCATCCCGAACTTACCTTGACTCATAAATTCTAACAAGTCAGTAGAAAAACTTAAAACTCAAAAGATTTACAACACTGTTGTTTACTGCAAAACCTTCAATTCCCTCGTCTTTCCAGCACTACAATTTGATTGATTAAATCATCCTAATCACTGACTATTTCATTTGATCTAATATATCATGCATTTAAACCACATGGTTGTAGACATTCCTTCAGCGAGGTTT